CTGTTTGAAAGGCTGCTTGTGGGATGTTATGGCAGAACTGTCAAGGCATCTTATTAAAGCCGTAAAAGTGTGAATTTGAACCCTGACCCCGCTGTGGGGGTAAATGGGTGCCTGTGTCTTTGATCCAAGAGAGGAGCGATACCAGTCGTGTTTCCATCGTACAAGCCCTTAATCACACCAACAAGGTGCCTGTATCTGCCAGATGGGGACGAATTGTTCTCCTTGCTGTTATTCCAAACATACCGAGAGCTCAGCGCATCTGCCTTCCACCTCTGCCATCCTCCACTGGCTCATCAAAGAGTGATGAGAATTTGTTGTGCAGCTCAGCAAGTTAATATTAGGGCATTACAAATGCGGAATGTAGAAGACGATGGTGTAGAAATGCCGAAAAGCCTGATTAGGAGCCTCCTCCCCCCGCACCATCCAAGACTTCACAGGGATCAGAGAGAAAATGACACATCTCACACACCAGTTCTGATAAATTTTACAGATCGCCCTGGGCTGCTGGGGAACCATTTCAAAGCATGAAAGTCATTGAGATTGTTTCTTTTCTTGTGTAGTGATGAGAATAATTTTTAAAACATTGTGCTTTGATTTCAGAGGGCTGTGTTTCTCTGCGATGTGTTCACCGGGCTGCAAAAGGAGGGGAAGAGTGTGGTTCCATTGGCCATCCCTTGGCCATCCCCTGCTGAGGCTGTACCACTACAGCGCTGCTTGGTTTGTGCTTCTCTGCCTCTCTGGTCCCTTTGGGGAGAAGAAGAAGGACGTGTCTGTGCTATTGCCACCACTCTTAGGTCTTCTGCATTGATAGTCTTGGCCTCGGCTGGCTTCAGTCCCAGAGCAGCTGAGCTCTGTAATAAGTCTCTAGTTATTATCTCCGGGTAATGGGAGGTTTAAAAAATTGCAAGTTTAAAATTAGAAGGTCAAAAGTCCTTGCCCTTTTTTCCACGATCTCCCTCTCTTTCTAGCTGGTTCGTTAATCCTTTTCTGCATAAAAATTCTTCAGTGAGACACATGGGAATATCACAAAGTTCCGTTCTTGTAGCCGGACTTGGCTGCCCAAGGTGGCAACGTCTGGTCACCAGCAGTTAGGTCCTGTCAGTGCCTCCAATTACTCATTTGGGGAGACACGACAGAGGCTCCTGCCCTTTTCTCCTCCCAGCCAGGAAGATGATTTATCCCCATCCATTTTTCCCTGTATGTGTTTTAAGCATCCACAGCATCCTGTGGCAGGAAGCGTCACAGCTCACCCACCTCTCACATGAAGACTTCCCAATTGATTGTTTTGAATGTGTCCCCTGTGAGATCCCGCTGTGTGCAGGGGAGAGCTCCATCCATCCCTCAGACAACTGGCAGTGGGTTTTACTTCTAATTTGTGATACAGAAATATGATGTGACAATGCCACCTTGGGAAGGCTGCTGCCTGCCCTGGAGGAGGGCAGTGGGCCGGCTGATGAGCTCGTAAGGCCAGAAAACATCAGGACAGGGACATTTTTGCCTTTTGGATGTGGAATTGATAAGGCTGGAGTGCTCTGACACCTCTGTGTTTGATCAGACATCTGTAAAGGCACCGTGACCCAGATGAGGTTATTAAAATGGAGAGGAAGTGAATGTAAATGAACTGAGCGGAATAATGCACCCCACGTGTGTCGTGGGACGTAAGACCATCTATAGCTTTCAGCAGCTGTGACAATTACAGGGTTTGGGCTGTGAAGAGACGTGTCCCCAGCTAATACTTTTAGCCTCTATTGCTCATCTTGATCTGTCAGAACAAGGAGGCTGCGGGTATGAGGGATAACGAGCTGTGGAAAGATGCCCCTGCTTTGTTTCAAGCGTGCTAACTTTGTTTCTCAATTTATTCTGAAATAAACCTGTGACTTCTTGAAATAATTTGGATGTATCAGTCAGAAACAGGTAACAAGGCCCCAATGCTGTCCACAACCAGTGGAGAAGCAAATGTCCAACTTCCAAGAGGTGAGTAGCCCCACTCAAACCAGTGAGGCTACATGGATGCTTAAAGGCAGATCTCCTCTGTCTCCTGGCCTCCTCCTCTATCAACGCAGACCAGAAATCAGGCAATGAAGGTTACAGGATCAGGCTCTGGGAGTTTTAAGTCTCTCTCTTTGAAAAACAGGTTACATTATCCCCGTGGTTTCTCCCCTCTTAACAAGCAAAGGAGAAGCAGTGGGTTTTCTTTCAGACGTGTGTGGAGTCCCAGCCAACACACAGCTGCCTTTTATTTGGCTTATCAAGATAAAAGTACAGGCGGAAAAAATCCTGTTTATGTCAAACTTAGTGTTTCGGCAGCAAAACCTTTTGCTGTTTCACACGATGCCTCCTTTGTAGCACAATAGAACTGGAAAATAGCTGTGCTTACGGGAGGTTTTTAGAAGCAGGAGGTGGTACAAGAGATGCAGGAAACCTTAAGAAATGGCACAAAGGCTGGCACTGACCTGCGTGGCTGCAGCCCAGCCTTCCCCATGCTCTTCCCAGCAGCTTCCAGAGGTTCCACAGAGCACAAACCCGCCCAACCACAGCCCCCCAGTCCTCAGCTCCTGGTTGAATTGGGCTGTCAGGTTGCCTGACCCTACGGCGCAGAGTGAGACCTCCCTACACAGTTTGGAGGGAATGTTTCATCTGCATTCCTTAAAAAAATAAAATGGTCTTTGTTCCTATTGCCTCCACCATCCAAAAACCATCTTGCTGGGAAGATAAATGCTGCCAAAGCTTCCTCAGTCCACAGTTTTCTGGGTGAAGTAAATTGGTTTCTTCACTGAGTGTATTCCTTTCACCTAAAATAAAATGTGTTTTATTGTATCTGACTGCATTAATTGATGCCCTGGTTATGCACAGTGCCCGGGTCAGATAATCAATACACTTCACCATTTCAAACCAGTAGGATTTGTGATCAGTTCAGAGTCTGTCTCCTAATCTTGGGCATTCAGAGTTTGCTTGTTTGTTTGTTCTGCTTCTCCCTGTGGCTGATCTGAATAACAAGAGTGTCGTTAATACAAGGTCTTTAACATTCATAGCACTTGAGGACTAATCCTGCTTCCTCGGGGTATAGTCAGGCAATGCTTTCACAATGGTACAGCCTCCATCCTTTCAGCTGCCACCCCCTTCTCACACCAGTGTAATCTGGGGTGGAAAGGAAAGTGGAACTGGTCACTTGTGGTATGAGGTCTCACCCAGATTTGGAGGCTGAAGTGAAACTCTGGGTTCCTTCAGAAGGAACAGGATGGGAGGAGCAGAGTGAACTGTGATGCATCCACTGGAGTCGGTGGAGATTGTGAAGAGACAACCCTGTCATCAGATGAGTCTCTCCCAAAGCTTCTTATCCTGTTGTGTTGAGCTTAGTGACAGGTCCATCCCAGTCACAGCGGGGCTGTGTGACCTGCTCCTCTGGCCGACCACAAACTGTAGGACAGGGAGGCCTGATGTGATCCCGTGTCTTCTGCACCCCAATCCTGGAGAGGAGGCAATGGGAAGGACCGGGGTGTGTGAAGGAGGGGGTTGTTTCCTTGTGAATTTGCTGTATTATTGGCAATTAAAGTAGACTGACTTTTCTATAGATGCAGAGTGTGGTGAGTGGTTCATAGAGGATGCTCAGGTAGAAGCTCTTCTTGGAAGAGGAGAGATGCTGCCCTGCATCCCTCTGCCCCTCCCCGGCTGGGATTCACCCACAGCTCGGGGCTATGCTCTAAAATACCCCCCAAACATGCATTTTAAAGAATTCCTTGTCTTATCCCCCTTTCTGGGTTTGTCTTCCACGTGCACTCTCACTGACAAATTCGATGGGAAGAACCACTGTATTTTAAGTTCATTCAGGGCTTCATGATTTTTAGGGCGAGCACCCCAGCACCTGCAGGGGGAGGATGTGTGGGAAGGGGGAGAGGAGCTCCCGATTCCCGTCCCTTAGGACCCCCTATAGGCGATATATCCTATAGACCCAGCCCGCCCGTCCACCGCGCTCCTCCGCCCCCTCGGAAAAAAAAATTTAAAAATCGGGGTCCTCCCCAGCAGCCCCCCCAGGGGAAGAGGAGCTGCCCCCGGCCGCGCTGCCTGGTTCAGCCTCCCGGGGGAGGGCTCTGCCCGGGATTTTGGGAGGTGGGGGGGGCGGGGAGCCGGAGCATCCCATCGCTTCAACCCGGGGCTCCGGGGGGCGGGCGAGTCCCGGTGG